AATTGAAAGATCTCTTCTGATTGTACCTTTCCGTTTCCCCCACCATGTGTTCTCGGTCTCCCCTTTTTTTTATAATTCCCCACGTTCATTACCTTTTTTTTTCTCTTTCCTCCTTCTCTTCAAATTATCATTGTTTTGTGTGGCATATATATATTTGGTGCCCCTCTGTACCAATATTTATGTGTTCAAATAATAATAATAATAATTTTCTTGTGACAACGGCTTACGAAAATACTCTGACCATAGTTACGGAAGTCAGTGGTAATAATGGACGTCATATATGATACATTAGTAGGATTCCGCAAACTAATCTCAATTATCTAAAATTCAAATAGTTCGGCAAATTACTTCAGCCTCATAAATCACCCAGTGTTTTGGCTAAAAACACCATTTCTGTCAAAAATTCTCGAGTTGTTGGCATACTTATAGAACATGAAAGGAGGCAGTACATACTTAGTTCTCCTCTTTAACAACAGACTCATATCTTCAATTATCTGCGTGCACATTACCTCTTAGGAATAGGTTAATACTATCAGAGTTATGGTTTGGGCACCCGGGCAGTATCACAGCCCTCACACAAATCAATTGAGCTTTGTGTGGCGCATATATATTTGGTGCCTTCTTGTACCGAAATCCACATGGCCATGCGTATATAGCCTCTGCCAGGGAAGTCCTACTCACTGGCTTCTCCCACCACGGACGTTGTTTACGGAAATGAGAGGACGAAAAGCGAATTTCCGGCATCGGCTTTAACCGGACCCCAAACCAATGGTGCACATGGGCTCCAGTATCCTGCGAGAACAAATGGCGTATGAACCAATCGTTGGTCACCGACAACCATGGGACTGCATCTCCTTACGATGCTCCACTGCCTTGTGGGTCAGACGTTCAGGTCAAAGGCTCGGGGTGTGGCCCCCTAAGAAAACCACCTGCTTCGGTTTGTGCACCTGGGCAGTATCACAGCCCTCACACAAATCAATTGAGATTTGTGTGGCGCATATATATTTGGTGCCTCCCTGTACCTATACTTATGTGTTAAAATAAATAAATGAAATAAATGTACCGATATCTATGTGTTAAAATAAATAAATCAGAGTTATGAAAATCATAAGTGAATAGATGAGATCATAATGAGCGTAGAAGTTGGCAAAGAAACATCTAGTCTTTATCAAAGCCATCAAAACAAAGGTGTCGCGACTTCACTTGACAGAATGATCAAGTGACAATGAAATCACTCGAAGAAACAAAGTTAATAAATTTCGACAACTAACAACGAAAAAATTCACGCAGTGACCCGCCCTGATGTCCCAGCGATTAACTATAAATATTAGGAATTAACGAATGGATTAAGATCAAGATACAAACCATGAAATATTTGCATTAGAGCCGATATCAGTTCGTAAGGAAAACCCAAGCCTAACTCGACATTCAAGCCCTAAACCTTAATTCTGACGTTGAAATAGCAACTGTGAGATTGGATTTGTGAAATAGACTGCTTACGGAGCTGAATTTCTGTTTATTCGTCTACATCTAATAGTGAACATGGATTACCACCTGTTTAAAAGTGATGCCTCGAAGTGGAAACTACAGTCGTCCCACAGAATTAAAAAAGACCATGAACGAAATAATAGAAAATGACCACACTCCTTTTTTCCTCCCACATTACAAAAGTTATAACCAGTATTTTATAAAAATTTAACATTTTCAGGTATTGGAAGTGTTTATTTTCAAATCCAATTACCTTGAACATGTAATTAACCGAATGTATTTTTCAAAGTCTAAAAATTAAGCGACATGGCAGTAAATTCGAAACCTATGTTTTGTAGCATAAACATACGATAGTCAACACCAACGTCCGTGTAACGCAAACTTTGAAATTCAGGTGCAGTTCAAGTTTCCACTATCCATTTCTTTTGTTATTTTCTTACGGTCCTAGTAATTTATTAGTATTCATTGTCTTGTAATTTATTCACTCACCTTCACTAGTGACAATATTATTTGTGCTTTTGTGTATCTTATAGTTTAAGTGAGTGTATTTCTCTTTCATGAAAATGTTTTGAAGCCAGTAGACATAACATATCCATTTAAGGCAATCGGTCATCAGAACAAACCATTTCAAGCTACTATTTAGCGGTAAATAAAGCCCTAAAATAAATAGTTCTGTAGGTCTTTGGCTTTTGATTCTGACATCGTGAGTTTTACTAAGACACCTAGCTGAAGACGCTAGACCAGGCAACTGTACTATATCATGAGTAAGCACACTGTGCTATGAATCCATTGTGACTGATATACGGATCACAACAAACACTTCCCAACGCATCGATAGCTTTCCAAACATATCTTCGAACCACTTGACTTCTGACACCTGGTTTGAATGAGTTGGTATACCTCGATTATAAAGGTTTTACGTGTAAAGTTGTTGTCAAACTCCGAAGCATGTGGCATCTTTAGTTGTGAGCGCTATGTGATCCGGTACACCGAACAATAAATTGTGAGTCTGCTCCTTATTAGGACATTGTATACCACATTTTTATTCTTACATTTAGTGCTATTGTTTCTGTATTTTTGCATGATTTTTCGCCCATTTGTTCGGTTCACCCTAATAGTGATGGGACAGACATCTATGTTATTGGTCGAGGTGTAGAGTTAATCTTAGTTATTTGGTATCTGTTTGTGAGAAAAGGCCTAATCCATTATAATAGGGGGTTTATAACTCCAACTGATTGAAGAAGGTTGTGAGGTACTTTATTGAAGGTTTTCTTAATATCGAAATATAGTATAACCACTAGTTTCTTTTGGTCACGTAAGCGAGTAACCTCTTTGAAGAAGTCTATTAAGCATGTACTACAGGACATCGTTCTAAGTAAGCTATATTGTGACGGGTCTATCAGATCTCCCTTGTGTAGGTGATCAGATATTTGATTTTGTCTGAACTTATTGTGCGTGATATAACTGCAGCGATATTTATAGGTCTGTGGTTTTCGACCGGGTCTATCGGCCCTGCGTTGTATTTGAGAAGAACATACGTCACCTTCCACGTTTCGGAATATGTACCTATCTCTATAGATAAAGTGAATATTTTTGAGTAATAGTGTCTGTATGTCCCGCCCTGACATTTTATAAAGGATTGATGGGATGTGATTGGCACCAGAACTCGCATTCGAGGTAAGGATTTTGATGGCGGTATGTATACTGCTAATATCAAAGTTTATGATGATAAGTTCGCTGATACACTTTATGCTAATATCGAGGTATGGTTTTTCATTTTATTGTTGTTATTATTATTAGCTTTGCTCAACATTATATTTTTGATGCAATATAGAACTCTCAGCAAAAATTATTTCAAAAAGTTTCGTTTCTTATTTCTTGATCGATCCTGCCGATAAATATTAAGTGATCGCCAAGTAGAGGTTAGAAATTTAGGAGTTGAATGCTGAATAGCGTGAATTCGTTTTGAATTATATTGCCAGCAACTACGATGTCTCTCATTGGACTCTTTGTTAGTTGTACAGCGAAAGGTCGTGAACATTTAGAATTATGGTCTATGTGGTTATTAATACTGATGTAATGAACCTGAGATTATGGATTTGTCATGATGTGACAACATAATCTATAAGGCCGACAGCTCTACTATCGTTAAAGCATGCAACAGTACTAGGAATGTTATGCTGAAACTCAGTAACATCGTTATAGCTACAATCTTCCTCAGAAAACTGGGGTCCCTCGGCTCAGGTTCCCTGGATGCAACGGTGGTTCCTATAAACTCTGTGGGCGATCGGACCCACACTAACAGGGTTAAAAAGGACCAGGCGTCACCGTCTAAGCTGAACATCCCAAGTATTGTA